CAAAGAATCGTCTAAAAGGATCCACGGCCACCACAAATTCTTCTGCAACTGCCCCTTCGCCTACTACTTCTACCTTTTCTTCCCTCTCTCTCTCTTCACCTAAAACTCCTTCGCGTTTAATCACTTCCTTCACTCCAGCCCCAGTGCAGGTCCCATCGCCCCCACTATCTGCTGTCTCCATAGACTCGGTCCTTTCACAAGCCAAAGCCATAACTCTGACATCATCACCGACGTCGCTCGATATGGCGAGCCCGGAGACCAGCCGGCCTGCTTCAGCAGTGCTGAGCATTGACACAAGACCATCCGCTGCTATTTTGAGTTCGGCTTTCTCGTCACCTCGTTCCGCGTCTCCCTCTAGAACTATTCGCGAAACCATGCGCGATAGCGCCGTTGAACTGCGCAATTCTGCTCGATCTAGTATGGATGGCACAACCACCACCACCAACGGCGCTGTTGTTCCCAGCAGCCGCACTTCTCTCGACAGCGGCCGAACAAGCATGAGCTCTGACTGGCCTGTTCACCCTGGCGAGATCAACACAATTGCACAGCTCGATACTCTGCCCATTGGCACCGAAGTCACTTTCCGAGCCCGTATCGAGACTCAGCGACCCATTTCAAAGGTCCTCGACTTCCTCCTCCTCCGCGACCAGACCCACTCCGTTCAGGGTGTTCTCGCCCGTGATGCCAGTAATGCCGACTTTATCACATGGGTCCGAAAGATCAACCCCGAATCTCTTGTCCAGATCACTGGTACCCTCAAGACCCCTCCCGAGCCGATTCGATCGGCTACACACTCCAATGTTGAGGTCGACGTGGTGTCTGTTCACCTCGTCAACCCCGCTCAAAACCTCCCCTTCAGCAACTACAAGCCGCCAGAGACCCTGCGCAACCGCATGAATGCCCGAATTCTCGATCTCCGACACCCCTCAAACCAGGCGCTTTTCCGTGTGCGCTCAATGGTCTCCCGCATCTTCCGAAACACCCTCGAAGAGCAAGGCTTTGTTGAGATCAACACCCCTAAACTTCAGCCCGCCGCCACTGAAAGCGGTGCTGCTGTCTTCGCTGTAAACTACTTCGGCCGTCGTGCTTTCCTCGCCCAGAGTCCTCAGCTCGCCAAGCAGGAGGCTATCTCTGCCGACTTCGGCCGCGTTTTCGAGATTGGCCCTGTCTTCCGTGCCGAGAACTCCAACACTCACCGTCACTTGACGGAATACACTGGCCTCGATCTTGAAATGGCCATTGACACCGACTATCACGAGGTCATCCAATTCATCGACATTTTCCTCAAGGAAGTCTTCAGAACGGTTTATGCCTCCCGAGAGCTCGAGGTCATTCGCAAAAGATGGCCTAGTGGTGAGTTCAAGTGGCTAGAGGAGACCCTCATCATCCCCTTCAGCGAAGGTATCCAGATGCTCCGTGATGACGGACGCGACGTTGAGGAGGAGGATCTGTCGACTCCCGACGAGATGAGACTTGGCCAGCTTGTGCGCGAAAAGTACGGTACAGACTACTACGTCCTCGACAAGTTCCCTGCCAATGCTCGCCCCTTCTACACTGCCAAGGACCCCGAAGATCCCAAGTGGACTCGATCCTTCGATATCTTCATTCGAGGCCAGGAGATTTGCTCCGGTGGCCAACGTATTCACAACGTCGATGAGCTCCGCGCCAACATGGCTGCCGCTGGCATGGCCGAGGATGGTATGGAGGATTACCTTACCGCTTTTGAGCTGGGGGCTCCTCCCCACGCCGGTGCTGGTCTTGGTCTTGAGCGAATCGTCGCTTGGATGCTTGAGCTTGGCGATGTTCGATATGCATCTTTATTCCACCGTGATCCCAAGTCTCTTCCTACTAAGGCTCCTGGTCTGCCTCACCCCGAGGCTGACACGACCAAACCTCACCACACCGACTCCCCTCCTCCCATCGAGAAACTCATTGCCAACTACGGCGATGCTACCAACACCTCCTGGCTCGATGATCGTTTCCAGATTTGGCGACACTCCACTGGTGCTGCTGTTGGCTGGGTCCAACGCGAGAAGTTTGCTATGATTACTGGTGATCCTCTCTGCGACCGTAGCCAGTACGCTCATGTCATCCGCGACTTTATTCAACACATTACTGTGGACCTCCGATTGACACCTTTCTGGATGCTGGTTTCTTATGAAGTCCAGAAGATTCTCGCCTCTGAACTTAAATGGCGAAGCTTGTCTTGCACCGAGGAGCAGCGTGTCGACGCTGATAAGCACAACAGCGCCCAGATCGATGGCCTCGCTGCCAAGGCTCGCCGCGTTGAACGTGAGGGTGTCAAGATCCATGAGGTCAAGGCTGACGAAGACTTCATCTCTCGTGCTAACCCCGCCATCGAAGCATGGAAGGGCACTCGTAAGGGCAAGGGCAAACAGGTTCACCTTACTGAGGTCCGCCCCTGGATTGACCAGGAGCACCGTCGATACTTTGCTGCCGAGAAGGATGGCAAGGTCATGTCCATGGTCGTTTTGGCCAAGCTTGCTCCTCGCCATGGCTGGCAGGTCAAGTGGGCTCTCGACTTCCCTGGTGCCGTTAACGGCGCCATTGAGGTGCTTGTGAGCTTTGCTCTTCAGAACGTTAGCGGAAAGGTCACCTTTGGCGCTGGTGTTTCCGAGAAGCTTACCCCTGGTGAGCATGTTGGCGGTATTCGTGCCAAGTTCCTTAGTGCCACCTACCGATCCATCGTCGACAGTCTCGGCCTGCGTCGCAAGGCATCATTCCGATCTAAGTTTGGTGCCCTCGGCGAGGAAATTTACATCTGCTATCCCAAGCACGGTGTCGGCCTGCGCGATCTACAGAACGTCATCAAGTTCTTCACCGACTAAACATGATCAGACTATTATCACACCAATCACGTCAATGGTGCCAAGCGAGATACTAGCGAAGGGAAGAGGATGTTTGTTGCGTTTCTTTGAAGATACCATACTTTACAGGAGATTGGAAGTAAGAGGATGCGACGGAATAACGGCCTGTGCTTTTCTTTGTTAACGGAATGGTTTGCTTGTTTAATGACGGCTCTTTTTGGATGGTCATTTTATTTTGTGACAGTCTCGCGTGGCTTATGTTTAAAATTCCCCCTTAGATACCAAACCTGAATGAAATACCCTCTCTAGACGGATCATCTTTTACAGGCTGTGCCTGCTGATGGATATCAATATTACTAGTTACAGAATACAGTTGTCCAAATATCTTGGTCTTCCTCACACCTAGCAACGGGGTAATTGAGAGCTATGCACATGACTCCATGTGGGGTTTTACACATTCGAGTTATTGGGGTCTTGTGGCCGATAACAACCAACCGAGACATGAAACCTATATGGCGCGAAGGCTCAACGCATATGCATGCCCCCCTAACACTGACCAATGTTCATGGTGAAAGCGGAGAGGCCTGCACTGGAATCCTGAGATATGGTTGGCGATTTAGAGGTTTGGTAGTTGTTAGACCACACCCAGGGTCCGACGACTCATGCTGCGATATAACTAGGCCAGCCGCAGAATAATAAGGTGAGGGATAACATAAGATCTCCATAAAACTTCATTAAAATCAGGTTTAATACTCTCTTTGTGCTACGCAGAGCTCTGTGTAGTAAACTTGCATTGCCTGTAATACCATGACATCTTTCCTCCTTATTCCGACACTTGTCAAAAGCACCACAAGTGGACAGCTAACAATGAACCTTGATCAGAAGTCCTAGACCAAAATGCAGCAAGGTTCTAATGTAATATTCAGCCTGCGGTGGTAGATGGAGCTCGAATCAATAGGCCTCTTGAATAAAAACATCGGTCTACGTGGTCCAGATATTATACAGGTTGGTCAAAATACACCCAAAATGGGCGATCATATTTCCCAATACGAATGGGGAACACTGCACCAAAAGCACAAATTACAAAAAGACAGGTCGGTCTTATAGAGGGAAACCAAACAAGGAATCGAAGAGGAGCCTCACGGTTGGGCATACCAGAGTACTACTCAGTTTTCGAAACCCGCCGCGCTCTTGAGACCATTCTAAGCCCTGGATCGCTTCGCAATAGAGTGAATAGATAAGGAGGTTATCAATTGAACACACCTGAGCATTAATGTGATATATCGCGAGTTTTATGTCGTACAACTCGGATTGTTTGTGTTCATCTGTGCTGTTCTGCTCGTGGTAGGAGCCCATGTGTCTATACTTCGCGTTAAGCAATTTATCGAGCAGGTTGACCACCTTCTCTCAGTGCTGGACGAGTAATACTCAGGGCTAGTCACTTTGGAGTGGCTTATTTGGGCGCAGTAAATAGTGGTCTAGGCTTTTCTAGGTCAGACTTTATCGATCTTCAGTTGCAAGGCCTTTCAGTAATGCACGTCCGGGGGTGGCTTTGACGGTGACTGCACAATAGCCCACTAGCGGGAGTGTCTGTGATTCATCTCGGGCGAGATTGGTCGGAGGTGGTGCCAGTGTTAAATTTAATGAGAACAAAAGATGTGGGCTTATTGAATAGACCACGAAACTGGCAGCCGAACTGCTCCTGTATCATTTCGCTCATAGGGGCATTGTTCAATAGACCTTGCCTTTCACGATGCCTTTGTCAAGACTTCCTACACGAACGAGAATGAATCAAGGGCCCTTTATGGGGACCGTGATCTGGCCTTTCGTTTGTTAATTACTATAATCGGAGAGACAGCCCTAGAACTTTGACGTGAGTGCAACACCTTGAACACCTGGCGAACAACCACCCACTGCCAGAACAACCTCTGCACCTGATGTTCACTCAGGAAGCCAGTGGTATATTCAAGCTGGCAGTGCTAGAACACAGGAAGCTTTGTCCGGTCTGACGGCTCCAGATTGCCTATAAATTGAAGACTGACCTCGATCAATCTCAAGCTTCTTCTCATCTCTCAATCAACAATCTTCTCAACTTTACAGCCTCACATCGACACTTAACACCCAACCATTAGACAAAAGCCTTCTACTAAACCCTCTTCCACATCTTTCATCATGTCTTTCTCTAACCTCTGCAAGGTCGTGCCTGTTGATGCCAAGGCCCCTACCACCATCAACACTCCTGTCGACATGGCCAACCCCAAGTGCTCCTGCCACTGCGGTTGCAACAACGTCGTCACTTTCAGCGGAGGTAACCTCTGTGAGTCCTGCAACGACAACCACAACCAGTAGATGTTGTGCAAGACTACCAGTCATGACTTGACTGTACGGGTCGTTTGCAAAGTCGACCGTCGCTCTTGGAGGATAACACAGACAAACAAAGCACAAGCAACGAAAAAAAAGAGAAAAATAACAAAAACAGACATAAAAAAAAGGGTATTGTCTCGCTTCACTGTTTGCGATTGACTGACGAACCGGGTATTGTGCGGTGCGGACTCAAGGGATTGGTGATTTGCGAGCAGAAGAGTACGAAACACAGGTGGATTGGTCCAGAGACCAAACAAACAAGTAGATAGCGGTAAAGCCTAATATACAGGACTTTCCAAGAAGATGAGTCCCAAAAAATAATCATGCTAAACTGTGAGCGGATTGAGCTGAATGCTCCCTTGATCATCGCATCCAATAGATACACGAGCAGAAAACACCCCGACAAGCAACTCAACAGGCCTTGCCAACAAATAAAAAACAAGAACGACTGACCCAGAAGCAACTTGATCAATCCCAAAGACCTGGCGACGTTTCCCGCCCTGTAGTTTGTTGCGCTAGCCAGCAGTGCTGTCATGGCTCCCAACCAGCAATGAAGCCTCTCCGAAATGCTAGACTACCTAAGTTAACAAGCTTTCCCGCACCTCGCTTCAGATAAACTTACCTCCAGAAATAATTGCCACCGCATACATGGCATGTGAATTTGGGTCCAATCCATCTTGATCTTGCTGATGGATGTGCCCATCCCAAAATTTGACCAGTTTACTGACCTGTTCCTTCTATGGCTCATCAGGTTGGATGCACCGGACTCCCAAACAGACGCAAAACTCTCTGGAAGCCAGTCTCTCAGAAACGCTTCCGCTCATATCCGTGGATTTTCCATCGACGAGGTCGTCGACTAGATCTTTGGCTCGCCGAGTAAATGCCTGCGACCAGGAAAACACAAACCACCACTATGACCCGCTCAGTGCCCATTAGACAATCGCAACCTCAACCATCTCATCTTCTTCCGCTGGAAGAAATCGATGAACGAATTGAACACGCCAAGGCTATCCAATATATCATCCGAAGCTGCTGTCGGCCAGGGTCAAAAGACTTCTGCCTCCGTGCCGAACATGTCGCCGCAATCATGACCATCCCGCTCCCGGTTTTTGGACCAAATGAGTTAATGTCAACAGATATTGACAATTTTGAAATGAAGAGGTGCATTGATTCTATCTCGCCCTCATGCAAGTATTGTAAGTCAGCTGCTCTGAACAGTGTAGGCGGCCAGCTAAAGCCATCAAAGATCTTCGACATTTACGCAGGCGACACAGGGCGACTTTCGTTTCTGGTCAACTTAGCCAGCCGTCTATCGAGTGCCCAAGCACTATATCCCATGGCAGCACCAGAATGGATATTGGTGAGACGACCTCTTTTGAAGTCAAGTCGGAACCCAAGCTTAGACTACAAGTCATTGAGCCGTCAAGCTTGACAGGTAGCGAGTCCGAGTATACCGACGAACTCGAAGCCACCGAGCTACTCACAATCGAAAAACACAATATGGACTTCGCCGAACAAATAAAATGTTTGGCGCGTGATGGGAACGTCCGCGCGGTCACTGGTGCACCAAACCCGAATGCATACCACATCGCACCATTTACTTGGAATAATACTCAAGATCATATCTGCAGAACGTTCGAATTAGGGGCTAATCGAACCTTCTTAGTCAGGAGTAAATTTGCAAATCGCACTCGCTACCTAAACAACTGGGATAAGCCAGGAGAATCCGATAAGGCATAGAATATAATCTCTCTTGACCCCCAGGTATACAGCTAGTGGTCTAAAGGATACTTCGCTTTCAAATGCCTGGAAGTGCAGTCTCTAGGACATGACGAGTCATATATGATCCTGGAGTTCCGGTGGATGCCTCGAACTAAACGCTGGTTCGGCCAACAGATTAATATTTTCAACGCCGGTACGGGCTCCTATGATCTGAAAGAATGGTTAAAAGAGATTGACCAGTTCCATATCTCTGGGAATCCGCCACCAATAGCCCGCGATGGGCTAAGGCTCCAGGCCACTATAAGTAATAGAGGACCTCTCTATTCAGGAAAGCTGATTCATTTACAAATGCAACATGAGGAGGCATCTCGCTTCAAGGATATAATTAATATGCAATGGGGTTGTATACTTATCACAGCCTTGAGCGGTGCTGCTGGAACTTCACAGCTGCTCTCAGATAGGAATTCTGATGATAAAGTGATGCAGTGGATCCAGAACCAGGCAAAATTTGCTGAAGAACATGGGTCGGACTCTTGAGCCATGACCTCTGAATTATAAAGCTGTATCGCATCTGGGGAACCGAAACACTCATTGGATTGGGCTCCCGTTGTTTCTCAAAGGGGAGTAAACTTGGGCGGCGAACACCAGACTAAACGCTATCTGGAGTCGTTGTTGCAAAACATGCAACCTTTTTCACCAGAAAGTTCTTAACTATAGTGTCTATAAGCCCCGAGAAACTCGCAAAACCAAGCAAGAAAGCATCTTGGCCGGCCGGTACTCCATCTCTTGCGAAGCGTGGCCACATCTCGACAACTGATCGGTGATCCGCCTATACCGCCTCCTCACTTCTCAACATATCCTACATACACCATGCTACATCGATGAGTGACGCTCGCGACACTTACTTCACGGGCAGACGGACTCGGTTCATCAGCAGGAGTGATCATGAGGTGTGGATAGCAATGGGAAACTGAACAATCCTTGAATTCTCCCACTTCACTGTTTTAGAATGTCAATATGTTTTATACATCAAGTATATACAAGCCACTGTTTCCCAACTAAAGAGCCAGGATTAATGGGTATGAAAGAATACAGTCTCTCCAGCTCTAACTCCAAATCACCCGTGATCCTGTCGTCAAAGTTCTGGAAGTACCACTGGCACCCTTGCAGCTCCGATGACATCAGGTAGCTTCAGTCCAGCTCTGGCCACCACCTTGTCCGTAAATAGAAGCGCACTGCTGAAGTCAGTATTCATGAGCTAGTTCGGTTGTGAAGGAGAGAACGCTTACATTGACACCGGGCTCTTGCTTGGAAGGTTTGTGCTTAGACTTATTGGCAGGACTCGTTAGCACCAGTGTCAATTTCTTGCTGCTGGGGTTGGTTCTCACTGCCAGGCTGCTGGGAAGAGTTTCCATCGCCACCTTGCTGACCGTTTCCACTTTGAGAGGCATCACCGCCCTGGGAAGCGTCACCACCAGTAGAACCACCGGCGCCGCCACCGGAAGAAGCTCCTTCGGAAACGGTCATGTGAGAAGATCCGCTGCTGAAGTAACCCTCAGTAGCGAGGATCTGGTAGTCGTGGGTGCCAAGCTTCATGCCAGCCTTCTCCCAGGCATCGAAGTGAAGACCAGTGTCGACGCTACCAGTGGAGCGATGCTGTTGGCGAACAGACCAGTACTGCTGGAAGGTCTGAGTGCCATCGATCGAAGGGGCATTGGTTCGAGTGGTCTCGAAGATCTCGTAGGTGCTGCCGTCAGCCTCAACGGTACCCTTCTTGGTAGCACCGCTGGAGGGGTTGTAGGTACCGAAGGACTCGACGATGTAGTACTCGACGAGGGGGTTTCGGGTCCAGCCGTAGACGGAGAGGTAGCTGTTGCCGTTGGGCTTGTACTCTCCCTCATACGAGATGGTTCTACCAGGTATTAGCAAGGGGCCATGGATAAGATTCCAGTGGGCTTACCGGGCCTTTCCAGGAGACCATCCCTTACCACCGACAACGTTACCACCATCCTTCCACTCCATGGAGTAAGAACCTCCCTCACCGTTGGTATAAGTAGCATCGGCACCGCCGTCACTCCACTTATAAAATCAGCTATGGTCCGAAAAGCATCTTGGCTGTACATACCCAGGAGTAGTAGAATCCGTTGTTAGTACCGGAACTGTTGGGAGTACCAGCCCGCTTGGTAATCTTGGAGAAGAGACCTTCTTTGGAGGGCGCGGCAAGAGAACCAGCTACGAGCGACAGCCCAGCGAAGACGGAAGTGAAGTGAACCATGATGAATGATTTGAAGAGAAAAAAGAGTGTCTTAGAATAGAAAACGAGTGTTGAGTTGAGGGATGATTCTTTCTACCATTGTTGCGAAGTTGTTGGTATAGATATAGAAAAATAGACCCTTGTTATATCACTTCGTACTATTGTTTCGAATAAACATGTGGTGTTGCTTGGTCTGAAACAACTTGTGGGGCCGGCCCGTTTTCCCGATCGGACAATGATTTGACGTTTAATGAAGGAGGAACGAGGCTCGATTTTTCCGTCCATTGGACGATTGTTTTGATGTTTCCGGGAGATGGTGGTTTTAATGCGTTGAGCTGATGGTGGGCCGATTAGATCTAGATGCCAAGCGAATATTCATGCTTTCCGCTCAGCCTCGTCATGTTCCAAGTTTCAGGTCTACAAACAGTTTTTTTCCGAGGATCGAACATCAGAGATGGCATATGAGATAAGCTTCAGCTAGGATATATTGAATCTTGGCACAAAGAAGTCGCTGCACTTGATATCGTCAACCAAACGTCAGTCAGGTAGAATATCGTCTCTAGCAATAAATCCACGGCAACTATTCCGGCTCTAATCCACTCGTTTAGCCTCGCATTCCACAATTAATTTCAGTTGAAACGAGGTGACAGCCGTATTTTGATACCGGCCTGCCAGCATCGGCAAACGGCAGTATTCTCAACCTGAAACTTGGCATAAGCTAGAACCGTGTGGCCCAAGTTCCACGTTTCAAGGATAATACCCGATATCAGGCTATTCTCAAAAGTCAAATACCCGAATACAACTGCTTACGTCAATCACAGTAGATCTGGCCCAAATATACCTATACATGACACAGTCTGGTTGCACATTGATTGAATTTAAAGCATATCAGCAGTTGAGGCTGACAACTGCCATGGAACACGTTTAGCCTGAATACTCAACCAAGGTAACGGATCGATCGTCTTAAAATATCCGAGATCAACACTGGATATTGTACGTGATTGCGGGTCTTCGCTATAATCCCTTGTTATAGAAAAGTTCCTCGATTTAACCCCGTGTACATCCTATAATCAGCGATGCGTCTCATAGAAGACTGAGCGCAGTCAGGGGTGAATGGTGATTCAGTAGCATGCATCAGAGCGTGGCAGCATGACTAATTCAGCCAGAATGCGAAAATTGTGGGCTTCTAGCCTCATGATATCTTCTCTCTATACTCTGCGCTCTGTCTCAACCGTCAATATGCACCGTCTATCCGAGCCTGTTTTCAACGAAAGTTCAGTTCCTGGGCACTGAACCAGGTACACATCCACCTAACATTCGTCCAGAGAAATCTTTTGCTTGCTCAAGAACTCCCAGAGCACATCATGCGTTCTTGGTACCACTGGTTTCACTTGGCGGCTTCTCCCCAACAAACAGTAACACCCTGAGATTATCAGCTCACAAATCCCCCGACAATGATACGAATACTTACCATGAAACCCTCCAGGTCGGCTTTCCGTTCAATCTCTTGCACATTCCTCGACTTCCGTCATTGTCTGGTGCCACATCAGCAGAACACCAACCATCATCAGCAAAGTCAAGAGACTTTTCACGAAACAACTTCGCAGCAAGCGTCTTGGCAAGACCACGTCGACGATATGGCTCCTTGCTCATTATTAGTATCTTATCGTGTCTTGAAGTCACAAGATACGTACCTCGCAGTGGAGGCTGATTAGTGAGCCATCGAACCCTAAGTCGAATTAGAGTTGAGCCGCATGATTTAGGCTCGAGGGAACTTACCCAGAAAAGCCCAGGAGACAGGCGTTCCGTCATTGAGCTTGATTACCAAGCTTGGCATTCGTCTCAGGACTTGCCTATCTGGCGTCAGCTAGTACCCCGGACGGGTAAAATCAGACTTGCACTGTTCTCGGGATATTGGTTCGGGAGATAACAACTCGGCAATCACCTTCTGTCGCCGTTCCCCAATGCATACCCTCGGGTAAAGCTATTTCATCCTTTGGCAGATCCTCGTACTTAAAGAGCCATTTGTCATATGCCCCAGTTTCACGAGCTTGAACGCGGCCTGTCTTGGAGAGGAGATCTCGGACTGAGTCATGCAATGTTCCGACCAAGACAGCCTCACCATAAACGAGGGGATGCCCATAAGCCTTTGCTATCACGACACTCTTCTCGATTATTTTCTGAAGTTGCTGTTCATAGATAGCCGTGTCATTAGTGTCGGCGTTATCCGGATGCTCAAGAGTCGAGTATATCCACGTTTGCGTGTCAGGGCCACCGCCGACGTCGATATACGCCGCGGTGAATCTCTTCGGAAAGTCTACCCCTTCCTCAAGTGGAGATTCCGGTACCAGTATAACTCTTGCTGTCTCTCGTAGGCCATTTTCAAACTTGGTAAACTGAAGACGACGAAGGAGGGGTAGCGAGTAGGGTAGATGATTAGTCAAAAGAGCCAAGAGCTGCTCTGGCACGGCCGTGTAGACCTTGATAAAATCTGCCATTTCGATAACTTCCAGGTCCCTCGGATGGTGTTACTCGGTAGATCAAGAAATGGCATTGAGAAAATTAGTTTGAGATACGTGTGTGAATCATTGTCACACATGGGTAAATGTCGGTTATCGGAAAGATTGCAATGATGACGCCTTTTCGCAAAAATATGAGTCACTGGGATCACTTCCCTGTCTTGGGAGTTGCGAAATTGTATTTCAGTTCAGTGTAAGAAAGCTGAAACACCCAGACGTGTATTCTTATTACCTCCGTTTTCGGGTGGTTGGCATGACTTAGTCACTTCGATCATTGAACTCCAATGATACATGTTGCATGACATAATTGAAAGGTAGCCAAACGGGATATCCTTAACTTCGGCTTGCTACTTACCATGGCCATAATCTTCCCAATTACTGAAGCTCTGTTCAAGTGAGGGTAGCTTATCCTAAGCTGAGTTTGGGGCTGAAGCTGGTCTTCTTCACTTCTCAGAGTATTCACTCTAATAATCCCACAATATGTTCATTGCTTAACCTTATAGGCCGCAGTCATCCCAATAGCAGACGCTAGAGAGTACGTAGATAGCTGCCTTCATTTAGAAAAATCGAGTAAAAACAGAAAAGGGCGCTGATGGGATCTTCACAACTCACTGCTGTCATAACTCATAAGTGAACTACCCTACAGTCTCGCGTCTCAATACGGCCAACACCAAGAGAAGACTACGGCTAAATAGCTTTGTAACGTCCCCACTATCTTGCCTGGCTTCTTCTGGAATTTCTCCAGATTTAATGCGCTTTCTTAGATGCATGGTGGTCAATCTGAGGTTTTCGAGTCATAGGTCGTTCCATCACCGTGCAGAATGGTGATGCAGTATTGTGACGAGACAGATGGAAAGAAAGCCCAAAGACGTCACAAATGGCACCAAGAGTCACATCAGTCGTCTAAAGGATAACGTAAAATGACTAAAAACGGCCTTGTGGTATGTACTGACCAGGCTATCAGTAGCTACTCACACCAAAATCATCTCTTTGGCTCAATGGCCGATTGGATCGCCGCCAGCCGACCGGCAGCCAACGTGTCAAACAGTCAATGAGCCTCTAGCTTGAGAATAGCTCGAGAATGGCCTCAGTGTAATTGTCACTCTTGGTGTGCTGTCCATTCAGTCGTCTCCATTTCTGGTGCCCAGTCCCAATCACCTCAGCGAGATTCAGAAATTCTCTAGTCTCCACCCATCACCAACTCCCCGAGAGAGGCTCGGCAGTCTCGACTCCCCGTGAACTCCCCGAAACAAAGTCACGGACAAATGACGGTCCTGAATTTGGACGCGACTTGAGCTGCGCGAGGGAAAATCCTCTTCCAACCTCACATCAACATTGCGAGACTGTCGACCCACGACAGCAGCACCTACACCATATCCGCGCACCTCCGAGGCACGACATGATGACCGGGATGGACGAATATGGAATGTCACTAGGGACGTGGTATGTGGGTCGAGGCAATTAAGCATAATGAACTCTGCTGACATGGGAACATCTAGATTGTCCAGATTGTTGATCAGTTGCCCCATAGCATACGGTACCTCCAGTAGCCGACCGATATTCACGCTGACGATCACGTCGACCTGTCATCTATCGACGTAATAACATTGTCGCGACAAATGGAAAGGACTCGCATGGCCGTCTTTCACCATCGCCGTGGCTTTCGACGCAATTGACTATCGAGATGAGATACCTACTGGCTTGCCACCTTTGATCTTTAACCCGTCCCGATTCGACGGACGATAACCAATAATGGCAGGTAGAGGTTCAGCTCATAATGTCGTGCCCAATAGGAACCTTGACGAAGCAATCAGAGCTGAGAGAACCAATCTTGCAAGCCCACGACCAGCGACGACCGAACCCAATTACGTCCAAATTGGAGTTGGAACCGCAAATCCCACGTACAAACTCTACTTATGTCTTGTTAAACTTGCAGCCGCTGGCAGGGTTGTGTGCCGTATTGCCGATTAAGTGCGTTGCCAAGCTCCCAGAACAACGGGATGTGCTCGCTTGCATTTGATGGCGCCGCTTGGAGGATGCATTCCCGGGAGAAGCAACGGCTGCGCTAGAGGAAGACGTGGGCGTCGCTTGGCAGGGGATCAAGTACCGTGTACAATGAGGAATTCTACCGTACCTCGCTCAAAAACACACCGAGCTAAGACTGATCCAAATGCACACTCCCCGACACTAGACCACCACCATCCAACCGCACGACAAGGGTAGATCTGGCTGGTTCATCCCACCAACTGTGGCGAGATTGATGAGGACACAGAAATAGTGCTGGATAAGCTTACCTGATGGTGCGCAAGATCTGGAAAGATTCGCCATCGGACCTGGATCGAAAGGTGCGATGTGCAGCACCCTGAAACTGTCGTAAATTCGTCAACGCATAGACAAATTCGGTCATCGAAGGGGCAGAAGGACCGCCGTCGGCAGCCTCGCAATAGCAACCCCCTGAACCTCATCTACGTTAGCTCAAACACCATGTTTGCTGAGGCAAATTGCTATCGAGATGGCCAAGACAACAATATGGATGGATTTGCGGATTTTGAGCCGGGAGACGTCGTCCTTCGTGGGGGACCAAGCCGGAAGGCTTACGATCCCGAGCGGGAGGGATGAAGTGAGGCCTTGCTGTACATCGGCTTCTTGATCAAGTCATTCGTCCAAATGCAAGCTGGACCGTCGGGTGAGCCCCGATGGCCCGGAACATGGGTTCTGGTTGGATCCAATGAAACATGCAGCAGTGACAAAGAGGGACACTGTCAACGAGGTTACTCCCAGCTCGCGTGCCTGCGTGAGTGGAGGACGAAAGGGACCACCTTTGAGCTGAAACAGCAGACGCAGCCGGCGACCGCGGGATAAATCTGTTTCGATCTCGTAAGGAAAAGGCGGGAAACGACCGACGACCCAGCGATGACCCGAGAGTATTATGCGGAGAGTGTTGCGATGGTCCATATTGCAACGAAGGAAGCAAGCTAATACGCGGCCATGATCGCCCAGATTGGAGACCCGCGTTACCTCGAAATGAGAAAAGACTCATGCGACGCACTAATATGAGCAATCTGGAAGGGTCTATTGCGTCAGATAAGATTTCGGACTTGCCATATTGCACCATGCCAGTGTGTCGACTTGCAAGTTGAAGCTATTGATCAAGCGCTGGTAGCTTTACACACGACTCGGAAGATCGGCAACGTGTATCACGGCCAAGCTGTCAATCCAGAGCCTCTTTGACTCAGAGTAGCTGTAGTTTATTCGAGTCTAGACCTGATGTGTGACCGCGCAACCGCAGCCTTGGGAAACTAAAGTTGTCTGGGTGCACTCACTTCGAAAGACAACAAGGGATGGGCGCTGGACCAGGGGTGTCGGAAATTGACGAATGGACGAACAGGTAAATGAGGATGGATGTGCACTTGTTACTGGACTCCCCGAAAATAGGGACCCATCTTGAATCCTCGGCCATAGAGCATGGGTGTTGTGATGGTTGAGCAATAGTCTCACCAGAATCAGTTCTGGACTACATGGAGGGCTGGTAAGGACCTTCATGATAAACCTCGGAGATGAGAGACTTGTTGCTTCAATGTGGGCTTTGTTCTGCAGCAATATCGGCATTCGCGATGTGATATCGAGGTTATTCATGGTCCCGTAACGCCAGGGACGTTAGCACCAGTAGCAAGGGGAGTGGGGCCGCGGCGTTACGGGGAGTTGGGGTATGGGCCGATGAGGCCATCATGATGAATATTGGGTCATTGAAGAGATTGAAAGCAAAAAGGTCTTCATGCACGGCAATGAATTACTATCTCTGAAGGGAACATAGGCACCGAAACGATGTAATCCAGCCATGGAAAGCTTAAGAGGCCAGCAGTGTTGTCCCCGATGATAGAAGCATGCATAGAACATACATAGTAGAACAGAAAGCTTTCAGCCGGTAGCGGCAAGGTAAAGCTCGAAGACAGGGGTACCTGAGCTACCTGACCAACTCCCCGAAGGTCCCTGAAGGATCTTGAGCAGTGCCCTCACCCTGTGAGCAATGGATATCAATACTCCGTACGCTACACAATAAAGATGGCAATTCACAATATTTCTTACGCTCGATTTCCTCCGTGTCTCGATGGAATGAGTTCATTGACCATTTCTAATCCAATGATAATCTCATTTTACCATCAAAGCTTTTACGGCTTCAACCTCACTATTCCGCAACAGGAATAACGTCTGCCGCTTAGAAAGCGGAACTAAGCCGTTAACGGCTTTAGATCGAATGGCGCAATCGGGGACCATATCGTCGCGAGATCTAGCAGGGATTTTTCTCTTTCCATGAACTTTGAGCGTGGTTATGCAAGATCGCATAATATTCACAGACTTCTAGTTATTTCGTTCAATATTACTCACAAAGCATTAGAAGCCTCTCATCATGCAAACTCTGAGAGAGTTACCTTCTTCAAGGGACATGATCTTGCCACGGAGACGACACGAATGTTGGTGGAGTTTTGGCGGAGCTGAATTGGGATAGCGACAATTGCATGCTCAGATCCTGGTCAGCACGCAATGGTTCTAATGGAGCCCCAGACACACAGCTTTTGCCGCAAACTCCCCACGCTGCCTCCATCAATTCTGCAGCTTGACGCGGCACAAGGCAAGACAGGACAAGAGAACAGAGAGCTTGGGGTGTGGAGGAAATGACACACCGCACGAGGGACCGAGGAGACCTCCAGTGTGACCCCAGCTCGCATGTACAGGCTACAAAGGTTACAGGCATTGCCAGTAGCGCCCAGAGTTTTTGGCGTTCGTTAATCCCTGTTGAATCGCGCAGTGAGACTCTCATCTCCCCGCTCGAAAAAAAGCAATGTCGTGGCATTGGACTTGGGCCGTGGTCACGATTGCATGAAGCCTAAAAAAGGGCTGAATTGAGAGGAAATGACACTACCGCGTGGGCCAGGCCAGACCAGACCAGACCAGGATAGCTACAGGTACTGGTCCAGGTC